CCTACCTTATAATTGAATTTTATTGAAAGTAATGAGATTTTTGGCAAGATTTTTTTTTAAATCATTAATTCAGGGCTCAGTGGTTCAAAACTCTACTTGTGGGTACACATTGTAATTTTTAAAGAAAACCCAGTTTGCTAATGAAAAAAAAATTTTAAGTAGCCTAACAAAATCTGAAGAATGGTAATTCTTATTTAGAACTAACTTTTCCTACATTCACTTACATGAAGCAGTGTTAGTGCAGTTATGTGGATTCACATAGCCTGTGCTTAGATATGATGCTAAGTCATTTTCATCTACTCTCGCCTTTAAATAAAGGATAACTAGACTCTTAGTATAAGTTCCAAAATAACACAACTAAAACCAAATGTGATTATGGCATATCACAGGGAGGAAAACCATGCAGCCCTTAAAAATCATATAAAAAAAGTTTTTGTAGTTTTGTTGTAGTGGCAAAATATTTACAATGAATTATTAAATGTTTTTAAAAGAACTGTAAAATAATATCTACAGAATAATCATTTTTATTTATAAATATATTTAATATACTATGACACAAATATATAATATTTATATAAATTATTTTATGACTGTAGTACTTATGTAACTTATAATAATATACATTATATTTATACCTACAAATATAGCAGTACATGTAATATTTGAAACACAGACAAAGACACAAAAATTACAGTGAAGATTTCTCTGTTCTCTGAGGAGTAGGAATTTTTAAAATTTTATAATTTCCTAAAGCATGCACCAGTTTTATAATTTAAAAAAATATATAGTATGTTCTGTATAAATAAATGCACAAATAAAAATGATGCACATTTTTTTTACTCTGTAGTTCAGGCTTTTTATAACATTAGATGAGCCTTATGATTAATTAGTTCAAATTTTTATTCTGCTAATTTGCTGCTTATCGTTTGTACACTGAAATATGAACCAAGCAGACTTATTCTTTGTGCCGTTTTAATTGGTTGGTACTTAGTGTACAAGAAGCTAAAAATGATGAGCCAGCATGACATTACTTTAGGTTAGTCATGCTATTTAAAATTTAGTGCTTACAAGTGTGTGCATATGTTTCCAATAAAGACTTATTTGCCACAGCAGAAGAGGACTTTCCTTAATATTTTGTGCTTCATTTTCACACTCATGTTTATTCATTGTTGTCTGGCCTGTAGTGGTTTAAGACTTGAAGTACTGACAGTACAGTCTTCTCTAGAGTTTTTACCTTTGGAAATTTAGAAGGTTACCTCTTCCAGTTCCACAGGGAAGGAAGGGCATATGTTCCAGGAGCCCCAGTGGAGCCTGAAACCATGATAGTACCAAACCCTATATATACTCTGTTTTTTCCTATTCTTACATACCTATGATAAAGTTTAATCTACAAATTAGGCACTGTAAGAGATTAACAACAATAACTAATAATAAAGTAGAACAATTTTTAACAGTATACTGTAATAAAAGTTATGTGAATGTGCTCGATTGCTCCCCCACCCCACTCCCGTCTCTCTCTCTTAGGGAAGGCTGTAAAAGGCACCTTCTGGAACAACTATTTTAGTGGACAATTTAGCCATAACTAGTCTTGGTAAAGTTGTACATACCTTTGACCCAGCAATTTCATGCCTACATATATATCCCTAAAGAGATTCTTGCATAAGAGATATGGAGAAATGTTAAAGAATGTTTAAAGAACATTAAAGAATATTTTTTTGAAACTGAAAAAATTGGAAACAATCAATCAATAGAACAGCTGAAAAACTTTTTGGTCTATTCACCTAGTAAAATACCAAACATCGGTGAAAGTGAACAAAGTAGAACTACTTCTGTCACCATGGTTAAATGTCAAAAATATATTGTTAAACAAACAAAAAAGTTATTGAAGAAAGATTCATGCATTATGATACAATCTTTATACAAATTAAAGATATGCCAAATATACCATAATTTTAAAGGCTACATATGTATATAGTAAGAGTATAAAAACGGAAGGACGGGGGAGAGAGGATCATGACAGGGTTTCATGAGGACTTCAGTTGTGTTAGTAATCTTATTACACCAGGTAACCTGTATATTGAGGATTCATTATATTGTCATCTGCATATTATATAGGTCTATGATGTTTCATAATTTAAACAAATAACTAAAAAGAAATCTAAACACCCACACTCAATAAAGCCTTGAGACAGTTTCTGAATTGTGCTGAGAAATAAGCTGGTTTCCCTTCCTGGGCCATGTGAAGCTCTCAGGAAAAGAGAAGGCACATCTGAGATGGCTTGGCTTAGCAGTAAACAAATGCTTACTAAATTTCAGTCATTTTACATGTATGTCAAGTGTTTTAGGTTTTAGCATCCCCATTAAAGCTCCCTGATAGCAATAATAAACCCAGTTTTAAAAAAAAGTTATGTGAATGTCCTCAATTGCTCCCCCACCCCACCCCCATGTTTCTCTCTCTCTCTCTCTCTCTCTCTCTCTCTCTCTTTCTCTCTCTCTCTGTCTCAAAACATCTGATAACCCGTCTAATGACTGAGAGGGCTACTAAGTGACTGACAACCGGGTAGTGTATACAATGTGGGTAAGCTGGACAAAGAGATGATCCGAGTTCCAGGTGGGACAGCATGGGACAGCAGTTAAAACTTATGAATTATTTCTGGAATTTTCCGTTTAATATTTTTGGACTGTAGTTGATGTGGGTGGCTGAAACCATGGAGAATGAAACTGCGGATAAGGGGGGACTATTGCACCCATTTAGGTGGCTCTCAGGAAGGATTCCAGTTCACCTCTGCATTGCATACCCACCCACCCTTCGCCCTTTTCCCTACCTTGTGGCACTGGCCACATTTTCCTGTAGTTGTTTGAGACTCTGCCTCCCCTAGGAAACAAGACACTTTAATAACTGTCATGTGTTTAATGATACCATATGCCAGAACTGCACAACCCCTTTGCGTACATTACTTCATTTAAATCTCATAATATAGCCCTGGTGTGGGTCAGTGGTTAGAGTGTCGGTCAAGGGCACCTACCTGGGTTGTGGGTTTGATTCCCATCCCCAGTCGGGGCATGTTCAGGAGGCTCCCAATTGTGTCTCTCTCACATCAATATTTCTCCCTCTCT